CACCCTTAACCCCACCCAGTAATGAAGCCCCGCCCCCACAAGTCCCGCCCACACCCACAGCCCACCCAGCAATGCAGCCCCGCCCAGTACACGCAGCCTCGCCCACACCCTCAGCCCCACCCAGCAATGCAGCCCCGCCCCAATCCCCGCCCACACTCCAGCCCCGCCCACACCCCCAATTCCGCCCAGTACATTCCTCAGCTACCTCGATGGTCTGGGCAATCTGAACCCACTCGGTGATGGTCATGTCACTGGAGTCGAAGAGGGGCTGGCACTCCAGCACGGTGTAGATGACCCCCTGATTAGCATGGGTGGGCCTGCACGAGGCAGAAGGGCGGCTCCCACTCAGCGCCCCCATTGGCCGGCCCTGTTCCCCTCTGCCCCGAGCGGCCCCAGCACCGGGGGGCCCGGTGTCCCTGGGCCCTACACACCCACAAACTCTCAGCATCCTGCGTACGGAGCCCGGCATCCCTTCTACCTGGCGGCCCCTGGAACAGAGGTGGGGCGCCGGAAGGACGGCCCGGAGAGCTGCTCCCGCCCGAGGGCATGGTGTCACCTTCCCACAGCCAGCTCTGAGAGAGAGGCTGGGCTCTGCCCTGAGCCAGCCAGGAGACGCCCCTGGGAGGAATGGGGCGGGCAGGAGGGCGAGCCCTCACTCAGCCCACCAGCTGGGAAGGGCACCAGGCAGCTCCGGCTGAGGGCCGAGAAACAGAGGGACCTTCAGGTTGTGGAGAGAAGGAGCCACTTGGGGCCAGCTATGCCCAAGCTGGTGGGAGTCTGAAAGGGGGCTGTGGGTCAGCTCTAGAGAGTACCAGAGGATATTCATGACAGCCTCCTGCAAGTGGCTCCCCCAGGAACCCCTGAGGAAGCACAGCGTGCCCCAGGGAGCCAGCAGGCACCGCCCAGCCCCGGAACGGCCCTCCCACAACAGCTGGCTGTGTCCCTGTGGGGACCCCACACTCACGGCAGAACCAGGGTGTCCTCGGGGAGGCCGCAGGCCTGGGCGTACGCCTCGTCGTGGAACATGGGCAGAGTCCTCAGGACGTTGGCCAGGCCCGTCCCGGGCAGAAGCACTGCAGGCAGAGGCCCGGGCATGGGGGGTCAGGGGCTGGCAGCTGCTGGCCCCTCCCTCCCCACAGGTCCGTGCTAGGGCCAGGGTCTGGACCGGGTGGAGGCGGGACCAGGGCTGGCCCCGGTGTGCGCTGGCCCTCAGGGAAATTAGAGGCTGGGCGGACAGGCCTGCAGCCACCGCGGTCCCGGCAAGGATGGGCAGCCGTCCGTGTCTGAATGCGATGGCTTCTTCCCTGGAGCCAGTACTGCCTGCGCTGTCCCCCAGGCAGCCCCAGGGCCTGCCTCCGCCAACACCCCACCTCCAGGTAAGCCACACCCCCGACCGGGGCTCAGGGCCTCCTGGCCCCCTCTGGCCTTTTACTCACAACTCAGCCTCATGTGCCCACCCTGCTTCCGAGACGGCCACACTCGCTCCTGCCCACGGACACACTGTTGGCTCTGCCAGGAAGTCCTCTGCCCCCTCCCCTCCTCTCACTTGGCAGGTGCTTTGCTCCAGCTTAGGTCACCACCTCCAGGAAACCCTCCTGGATGTCGAGGCCCTGGGGCCCTTCCCACAGGCTTCTACGCCCTTGTTCCCTCGATGGACTGTGTGTAACCCCCCTAGGGCCCAGCCCGGGCCTCCTGCCTACAGCCTCCATGCCTCAGAAACGTGCATCTTAGGAGGCACTGGGCAGGAATGGCCCTGTGTTCTAAGAAAACCCTAAAAGGTCACAGGTTATGTCTCCTGGAAACAAATGACCCCTCGGTACAGGCTCCCAGAAGGATCGCTGCCTGGGGGTCCCGGCCTTCTGTCCTACACTGCTCCCCACAAGCACCATGACCTTGGGCAACTCGGCTGACTTCACGTTTACCCTTCGCCGAGGTGACTGCCACCTGCCTGGCTGTGTCAGGTACCCAGACATGGCAGCAAGGACAACGGGCTCCCCCTCCTCTAAAAGCACCCTTGGCTGAAACACGTTAGACCCTCAGACCCCGGGCGGCGGGCACTCCTGAGCCTCAGTCTTGCCCCCAGCCTGCAAGTCCGCTGGGCTCATCAGTGTCCTGCTGCTGTACACAAACCACCCCACGCCTGGCTGCTGCCTCACAGCTCTGGGGGGTCTGCGGGGCTGTGGCCTCACTGGAGGCACTGGGGGGGGGCGTCCAGGTTCGCTTGGCCGTTGGCAGATTTCGGCTCCACGCGAACGGCTGTCCACTGCTGCCCTGCACCACGACCATCCTCGGCTTCCCGAGCTCCCACCTCCCCAACCTCGGGAACCCCTGCTCCAGCTTCAAAGCCAGCACTGGCAGGTCGCGTCCTCACCCCTCGACTCTGCGAGCTCGCTCACGCCTCCCCTCCAAGGAGCCCGAGAGGCCGCCTGCCTCGCCCCAAGGAACTGACGCTCAGTCCTTCCTTCAGCCGCCGGGAGAGTCCGCGTCCTCCGGGCCGGGACAATTCTCTCCCCCACACTCCTTTCCCCGGGGCCAGGGGCTCAGTTCAGCCCCAGCCCCCCAGCCCACTGCCCCGGGCCCTCCGCAGCCAGCCCCGCGTGTCCCCGCTGCCCCCCGCTGCCCGCCTCCTGGCCTGCTCTCCCACCCGGCCCACCACAGGGCGCATCCATTTCCTGCGGCTGCGTAACCGCAACTTAGTGAACTGAAGACCCCTGCATTGTCGGAGTCAGACGCCCGACAGACACCCTGAGTCCACCGCTGAACCCCAAGCCCCCGCTGGCCCCGCCACCCCCACCAGCACAGCCCTCCTGGCCCCATGGATGTTTGCGGATGTGGCGCCAGCTCCCTAGCCAGAGAGGGCGTCGCCCCGAGGGGGCGCACACTGGGCAACTGCCCCCTGACCCCCGCTCATGTGAGCCACGGCTGCTCGTGGCTGTAAGGAAACCACGCCCAGGGGACACTGGGGCACCTCTGCCAGCCCGGCCACCTTCCCGCGACGCCTGCAGTGTGACCGGGACGCGCTCCTGCCTCCACGAGGGCGGGACTCACCGGCCCTGCCAGCAGCGAGGACCGGACGTGGAGGAAGCCTGAGCGCCACAGCTGGCCCGCTTGGCGGCCCGGTTTCCGCACCCCGTCTGCAAAGGGATGAAAAACAGCTCCCAAAACTGTGCACACCCTGATCCCCGGGACCTGTGAGTGTGACCGGAAACGCAAAGGCAAATCAAGGGTCTTGGGATGAGGAGGTGACCTGGGCCGCGCGGGCAGGCCCTGCTCCCATCACCGGTTTCCTTGCAGGAGGAAGGCGGGGGGACATTTGCCGCGTGGAGGACGGAGCAGAGAGCCGCGAAGACTCTGGCCTCGAAGGCTGCGAGACGCGGCCACCGCCAAGGGAGAGGCAGCGTCGGACTCCGAGAGGACACATCTCGGTTCCCGTAGACCACCCAGTGTGTGGCCACTTGTCCTGGCAGCTCCAGGACCCTCACGAGGCCACTTTCCACTCCAGCTCCCCGCCCGGTGGGTGGCGCTGGGGCCTCTGTGGAAATCTGGGGTTTGGGTTCATAGGACAAGCTCATGTCATGCATGGTCACCTCCACCTGTAGCTAGGCTATTGCTGGCCGATGGTGGGACAACGGCTTACGGCATGGTGGGAAATGGCAGGGCCAGAGTCCCAAAGGACCCGGACGCTGGCGTCCCCACCCAGGGCCTGGGTGGGCTCAATTCCCTTTCTGTTCTATTCTCTCCGTGCAAAACCCTGGTGACACACTGTCAGTCAAGGTCAGGAAAGCTTGCCAGGGACAGTGGTGACAGCCAGGCAGAGTGGCAAGAACCTCGTGTGGGGTCTCTGTCCACGTGTGCGTATTGAGTTAGGTGACTTTCTCTTGCTGACCTGTCTCGTGTCTCTTTGATTATCAGACCAGCCAGGGGAACCCTGATGAGAAAGGGGACTTTGTTCCTTCCCACAGCTGGCACTCTGTGCGGGGTAAACGCACCGGCCGGAACCCCGCGTCCCCACGAGGCTGCTGCCCGTGGAGATGCCGGGCGCCTGACACAGGCGGGCAGAGGGCGAGGGGTCTCACCGTGCGGACACACCCCCAGATCTGTCTGCAGGAGCCAGTGGGGAAGAACGTGGTGAGAATATTCTCCCGTTCTCTAAATGTACATGGCAGGCGAAAGCCCTTACAAAGGTGGTTTCCCAGGCGAGAGACGTGGGTGTCGGGTGTCGGTGTGAGAACCCCTGGGGTCATTAACCCCGTTCTCCATCTGGTGTCTCGCCCGTCCCCAGGCTGTGTCCTGAGAGCTTGGCCTTTGCGACAGTGAGAATATGCTCTCTGGTCTCCACCCCCCCGGTCCCCAGGCTCACTGGGACACACCCGGTGGCCAGACTGGGGGTCCAAGCCTTGCGTGGTCCCGCTGGGCCAGCTCCCAGGGGGCTGCCATCGAGGGCCCCAGCCCATAAGCAGCCTCCGCGTCTCAGTCCTCGCTGCTGGTTGGGGCTGGCAACGGCAGTCTGTGCCGTATTTCCCGGCAACCTTGGTTAAGCCATAAAAGGCTTATGGATTTGAGTTGCTACGGACCCTACAGCCAAGGCCTGACAAGGGATCCTTTTCATTGGAAAAACTTCTAAATTACAAAGAAGAACTTGGTTTTAGGGAGCGCTCACACTGTTATAATGGCCGGCCATTCACTCCCCTTAATAAGATGGAAGGACAGAAATTAAAACCAAAATCAAACTGCACTCAGACCCCTTCCTATTTGCTTTCGGATGGTGTAAAAATTAGGACATTGCAAATGGAGTCGTCTCGCAGTTAAGAAGGATGGAAGAAATCTTGCTAAAGGACAACCCAAACATTTCACGTCCTACGAGCTCAGTCTGGTGACTGTCGGGGTGGAAGCCCCGAATCACAGCCACACAGAAACGTGAGCTACATGCCTCAGGGAGATGGCAACTGGAAATTACAACAGCAATTGTGAGGAACGTTCCGCTTAGACAAAATTAATTTTAAAATGCGCTTGAAAGTAAGGGTTCTCGAACTGAGCAGAGTAAGACAGCTACTTTCATCATCATGCAGAAGCTTGCGAAAGGTTTCGCGGACGAAAACGCGGCCACACAGTAAACCTGACAAGCTCAGGGGAGGCCCGCGTGGCGGCCTCGCGAACTCAGAGACAGGGAGTCACCACGCAGGGTGGTCTGAACGTAAAAATTCCTAACTCGGAGCGGGTCATGGCCGGCAGTCACGTCCTAGGCCTGCAGCCTCCTTGGCGAAGGTCAGCGTTACCTTAAGTGAGCCTGGCTATCGTCTTTGTGCATCTGAGATCACATACCTTAGAAATGTCAGGCGAGTGCCTTGTCCAGCCCCCTCGGGGCACGCCCGCCCCAGACCGCAGCCCCCCACTGTTCTCCTGTCCCCTGCACACCGCCTCCACGCGTGTCACCGCTAACTATCATCCATCCCGCACCCGCCACCGCAAGAGAAGCGTGTGTCCCTCGTCTTCCTTGTTATCCGGTCCCAGGGATGTCCCCGCTTTGCTTCCTGCCGCCCCCCGATCTACCACCGGTGGATGCCACGCAATTTCCTACGTCCCCGCCTTAGATTCTAACATACCACGGAAGCCGCAGAGCTGCCGCCGTCCGGAGCGTTTTCTCCGTCCGTTGAGATTTCGCTCCCCGGGGACTGTTGTCAGTTTGGTTCAAATCAACTCATCAAAATTCTCCGCAGGTTCGGACGTTTCTGACCCAGGCAATTTCAAAATTTCAAAGTAGCTTCACTGAAAGACTTACTTAGAAGAGCTCACGAAAAAGTAAACGGGCCAGAGGTGCCTAAGACGAGAGTGAAGCAGACGGCTCCCGCTGCTGCCCCGGGCCCCGGGAGGACGCCCCGGGACAGGCACCTCTCGGAAAGCCCCCCATGAGCTGCCCGAGCGCTTGCACCACAGGCTTCACTCTGGGAGCCGCCCACGTCACCGCCTCCTGGAATGGCACACGGCTGTCACTGTCATGGAGCTGAGCTTCTCCAAGGCTGGGACTGGTTTGATGAGATATGGGACAATCTACCGGCCCAGCTCCTGGAATGGGCCGCTTCTGGGGGAGTTTCGAAGGAGGGACTGGGAGGGGAGTTCGGAACGAGTCACCCCGCAATGTGCCCCTGTGGCTCGTGGATTGTTTTGAGCTAACGGCAACTTCAGCTGCGGGCTCGAGAGAATCTTCTGTCCCCTGCTTAACTCCTAGTAGGACTTGAACAAGGGGCTGTGCCCCAAATGAAAAATCATCCGAGACCGTCTCTTCTGACGCGGGGGCAGGGCAAACTTCTGTTTACTAAACAGTTGCCCTTCTCAGCTGCCAGTGGCCCTCTGCGGGCCCCCGGCACCTTGCCTGTCCCCAGCCACGTTCCCTCCCTGTCTCTGAGCCTCTCCGGCACGTGAGTCTCCTTCATCGTTCTAAATAAACGTCTGCTTTCACACCTAACTCTGATTTTGTAAATTGTATGATTTTTCTTAACGAGGGCCACCAAGGCTTCAGGCCGTACAGAGCCAGAGCCCGCCCTGCCTGGGCCTGGGCCTGGGCCTGGGCCGAACCCTCGGCCGAACAGGCAGGGAGTCAGAGTGGCCGGCAGAGGGACGCTTCAGGCTCCTAACACATTCACCTGAGAGGGACAGTTTCCCCCAGGACAGCAGGTCCCCCTGGAACCTAGCTTAGGCCATAAAAATGTGAACTTGTGAGCTTGTGGGACCACGTTCAGGAAGGAGGTCCATGCTGGAGGCACAGATGCCACGTTGCAGTGACCGAGAAGCCGTGGATGTCACCCAGACCGACAAGACTCGGCTGTCAGGACCACCCGCAGCCTCCCAGGCCTCCTGGCACCTTTGTCGTCCTGGGCCCAGAGCCCTGCTCGCCCCGCCGTGCCGGTGAGGAGTGAGGCTTGTGAGGGCCCCTCAGGCTCGTGGCCCCCGAGTTGACGCCGGGGCCTCTGAGCTCCTCGTCCTCTGATGCAGGCTGGGCTTACCGGCGGTTTTAGGATTCACGATGCCCCTTGATCTGTGACATCTTCGATGAACTCAGGGAAGGGACAGGCCAAGGGGTGTCCCTAGCTGCCACCGTCCCTGCCCTCCCCTCGCTGTCCCAACCTTTGGCGGGATTTGGACTTGTGGCCGTGCCCCCTGCGGGCCACTGTTTACTGGCAGGCACAGAAATGCTCTCAACGGCGACAGTCCAAACAGCTGCGCTGTGGCTGGGACCACCTCCCTCACCACCTCTGACTCCAGAGCTGCTCAGCAGTGCGGCCGGTCAA